TCATTGAAATGGTGCGCTTTGGCAATTCATTTTGTATGTTGCGTTTTTACTCGGGGCTTCCAAAACGCAACCAAAAATATTGATAAAACCATCAGGCTTCACTACATGCTAAAATTCGAATCATTTTATGGTTACGTGTTTGTTACCTATTTGCTTAAAAACCACTTGCGTTGAGTATAGTTTTTGTAAGTTACTATTATATGCTCCACCATAGACGATTGAGCCGTAACCAACTTTAGAACGGATCGGTGACCTGTATAAGTGTAAGAGGGTTGTGTGATCTCCTCCCCACTTTGATTTGGATACAACTTTCAATAAACCCAGTGCCTTCAGACGTGTATGGTAGGAAAGTTAAACGGCTATCAAAGATGAGACCTTTATGGGGGTGCTATTTACAAATAATTCAGGGTCTTTATGTAGCTTATATTTTCTGCAGAAGCGTATACAATTATGTTTTGATTTCGAAAATTTAAACCTGTTTTCAAGAGACCACATTTGAATTCAATTTAGACCTGCCTTTTCACCTGCCTTTCTATCGTATGCATATTTTTACCACGACACGATAGATTAAAATTATCTAGTGAATCACATACAACCTTTGACAGGCTATTTATTTCAATAGCAAATAAAGTGACAGACAAAATACTGCTTTGCAGGGCACCCTGGTCCTGAATATAATGGTCACACAGGGTTGTACCAACTCGAACTTGAAATTGCCTGTCTGTACAAAAAAAGAGAGATATAAAATGAGGCAAACGACCTCTCAAGCCCAAATCATGTAAATCCTTTAAAATATCATGCTTCCACGTAGTATCATATGCTTTCTCAAGATCAAAGACATATTGTTTGTTGACTATAGAATTTTTAACAAAGCATTCTAACCATACTAAATGAGTCCATTCATTCTTCCGGAAACCACATTGAATATTTGTGAGAAAATTATTGGTTTCCAGATATCAAACTAATATATTATTTACTGTTCGTTCCATGGTTTAGCGAACAACTGGTTTAAGATATAGGGCGCTGATTTGAGGGATCTGTATGATCCAGGCCAGATTTTGGTATTGAGACAACAATGGCATTATGCCTTGAAGGAGTGTCTCAAGACATGATTCAAGCAAATGCTGAGAGTGAATATTATCATCACCTGCTGCAGTATCATGAGCTTGCTCAAGGGCGGTGTGTAGCTCATGCAATGAAAATATTTCATTGCAATTGTAGCCGGGCGTGGTGTGATGTGTCCAGCCACTGGGCTGCTAGTCAAAACATGAGGCAGTTCTTGAAGATGATGATGATTTTATTCTTTTGTAGTAGATGGTGGGAGGGAAGCTGTAAACAAGAGTCCTCCCTCCATAAAGAGTTCATGCAGAATATGTTATAATTTAATTTAAGCCAAAAGGAAACAGATTAATTTATAAGGATATGTTGGGTAGCACATGGTTGAAGCACATGGTTGAAGACCATGTGCTCAATTAATGTAACACAAAATGTGTGAGCTGGCAAATATTTAGATATGACAAATTAAATAATAATGCAATTAAATATATTTTACTTTAATGAAAAGCTGTGATACCCTTTCTATGAATATAATTGTTTCTAAAGCAGGATGGAAAGAGATAAGAATATTGAAATGTTTCTCACCTGTAAACAAGAGTCCTCCCTCCATAAAGAGTTCATGCAGAATGCATGAGGAGGGCAGGTGAGAAAGGAAGTTTAAAGAAGTGGACCAAAGGGCCAATCAGAAGAAAGGTAGCATCTGACAGGTATTAAAAGGAAGTCAAGATGCTTCAGTCACATAAAGTGGTGGACATGTCTAAAAATAGATAGGGGGAAGTCCAGGTGAAGCTGGAGAAATTACAGAGGCTGCAGAAGGGTATCAGGTTGGTGTTAGTTGGCTGACATTCAACTGCAGACAAGGACAACATATAATGAACATATAATGAACATATAATGAACACAGAATGAAGTGATGGTCATAATAGATGAACATGTATGTATGTATGTATAGAATGAATCTAAGGGGGGTTATAAGTGGGTGGTACTTATGTGGCTATAACTCATTCAGAGTTAGCACCACCACCCGGCTACATACACCCCCACTTTGGGAAATGGCGACCTCGCCATTAAATAGCGGCAATGTATAATTACATCCTCACACCCAGACACTTTGTTTTACAACAAACTGCCCATCTGTCATCCACTTTGGCTTTGTTCGGGTTCGTCCAACTCGCCGAGGTGGTGGCTGTGGAGTTGACGGTCCTGAGCCAGGGATAGAACTGGTTGGTGCAGTTGGTGCTGGTGTGGATGGTGAAACTACGGGTGACACACTTGCAAATGGCGGGCTGATTGGTGGCAGTGCTGACACTGGGGATGATACCGACACTGGAGAAGGAGAACTCTCAATATCCATGTTGGTTGTTGAGATCTCCAGTGTTGTGTCAGTACTTGTGTCCTTAAGCTCGCCAGAAGATGGTGTTGAAACAGAAGTAGTAGTAGTCGTCGTCACCGTCGATGTCGATGGTGTGCACCGTGGCCTGGGTATGGGCTGACCATTCGTACCAATGGGAAGGAGTAGATTACGGTGGAGTACACGACATTCTCTGGTTCCTTCCTTATGAACTTTAAACACAGGAATGTCGGCATGAGGTTGAGAATCAACCACGTAATACTCCTCTTCCCACCGGTTAGCCAGTTTTTGCTTCCCACGTATGTTGACGTTACGCACCAATACAACGTCACCAACCTTGAGTGTGGCTCCGCGTGCCTTAAGATTATAGGCTTTGCGTTGTTTAGCCTGAGCCCTTTCAAGGTTTGCAGCTGCAAGCTCATAGGCAGTGTGTAATTTGCGCTCTAGATCAGCAGCAAACTGCGTATAAGCTGGTGATGAAATATTGGCCAGTGATGTACCAAAAGCAGCGTCAACAGGCAGCCTAGGTTGTCTGCCAAACATGAGGAAGTAGGGAGTGAACCCCGTTGACTCATGGAGGGAACAGTTATAGGCATGAACTAAGTGAGAAAGGTGATCTTTCCACTTTGCCTTTTGCTGCTCCTCCAGAGTGCCGAGCATCCCTAAGAGCGTCCGATTAAACCGCTCACATAGACCATTACCCATTGGATGATACGGAGTGGTCCGCGTTTTGAGAATACCCAATATGCTGCACAGCTGTTTGATGATATCACTCTCAAAGTTCCGGCCTTGATCAGAGTGTAACTTCTCTGGAATGCCATAGTGAACAATGAAGTGATCAAACAGTACTTTGGCTGTAGTACGTGCCGTTTGGTTGCGAGTGGGAATGGCAACAGCATATTTGGTGAAATGGTCCGTAATGACCAGGATATTCTCATAACCACCAGAGGAGGGCTCCAAGCTGAGATAGTCCATGCACACCAACTCCATAGGTTGAGTGGTTTGGATGCTAACTAATGGTGCATGCTCAGTTTGGTTAGGAGCTTTACGAAGTATACACCTCTGGCAGCAGCGAATCCTTTTCTCCACATCCGTGATCATTCCCGGCCAGTAAAACCGTGTCCGGTTAAGAGCCACGGTCCTGTCCCTACCAAGATGTCCCATGCCGTCATGTAGATGGGTAATGACCTCATCTCTTTTAGACTGAGGAACAATCAATTGATAGTAGGGTACTACACCATCTGAAAGTTGTTGCCTGTGGAGAAGGCCATCTTTGACAGTGAGTGAGTCCCACTGCCTAAGAATGGATGCAGTGTCCCGGTCCATGGATTTGAGAGCCTCCTTGGTTGGACGCGTACCATTACGGATGAGTTCCAAAATCGAACAGATTGAGGAATCAGCTTGCTGATATGTTCTCATCCGTTGGCTAGCGACAACGTCAGAAGGTTACATACCATCGACCGCCAACATACAATTCATCACCTCCTGATTGAGGGAGAGTGTCTCCACGGCACATGATGAGATGAGTTGCCCATTACAGAGAGCAGACACACTTTGAATGTCCATGGACTCACGCGGCAACCTGGACAAAGCATCTGCATCAACATTCCTTGCACCCGGAACATACTCAAGGGAGAAGTCATAAGTAGCAAGTTCTGCGAGCCAGCGATGCCCAGTTGCATCCAACTTAGCAGAAGTTAGGACATACGTGAGGGGATTATTGTCAGTCTTTACAGTGAATGAGTTGCCATACAAGTAATCATGAAACTTCTTGGTGACAGCCCATTTTAGAGCCAAAAACTCTAACTTATGAGCAGGGTAATTGCGCTCGGCTTTGCTGAGACTGCGACTTGCATAGGCAATCACTCGCCTTTGATTGTCTTGGGATTGGTACAGTACTGCACCCAAGCCATCCCCACTTGCATCAATGTGCAATTCAAAGGGCAGAGTGAAATCAGCAAAAGCCAAAACGGGAGCACAAGAAAGCCTGCTAATAAGCTCACTGAAAGCTGACTGTTGAGCATCCCCCCATACAAATGGTTGGTTTGACTTGATCTTGCGCTTGGATCTCCCGCCATGTCCAGCAAGCAAACTGGTTAGTGGCTTGGCAACTTTAGCGTAGTCTGGAACAAAACGCCTAAAGTAGCCGGAGAATCCAAGAAAACGACGAAGATCTTCGACATAACGTGGAATTGGCCAGGTCTTCAATACTTCAATCTTCTCAGGGTCTGTTTTGATACCCTCCTCGGAGATTACGTGACCTAGGTACTTAACGGAGGTCTGCAAGAATTGGCATTTTGACGGCTTTAGCTTGAGCCCGTTCTTGCGCAATCTTTGAAAGATTGCTCGTAATCTATCAAGATGCTCATCAAAGGTCTTAGAAAACACAATTATGTCATCAAGATAAATGAGGCATTGGAGAAGATGAATGTCGCCCATACACCTCTCCATCAGGCGTTGGAAAGTAGCTGGAGCATTTGTCAGTCCAAAGGGCATAGAGTTACACTCGTAAAACCCAAGTGGGCCAACAGTAAAGGCAGTACGGGCCTTGTGCTCCTCATCCACTTCGACTTGCCAATATCCACTCTTAAGGTCAAGACAAGAGAAGTATTTTCCCGGTTATTGTATCAAGAGTTTCCTCTATCCTTGGTAGAGCATATGAATCTCGAATTGTGCGACTGTTCAATTTTCTATAGTCAATACAGAAGCGCAGACTCAAGTCATGTTTGCGAACCAGGACAACAGGCGAGGCATATGGACTAGCAGATGGACGGATAACTTTAGCATCTAACATCTGCTTTATATGGTCCTTGACCTCTTGATACATAGAGGGCGGAATACGTCTATGTCTTTCCTTAAATGGAGTCTCATCTGTGAGTTCTATTCGATGGGTGACCAAGTCAGTATGTCCCATGTCCATATCAGACTTGCTAAACACATCGTCAAACTCATTCAGTAGAGAGCGCAATTGAGTTCTTTCATCTGGAGTGTGATTATCACCCAGAGAGTCCAGTTCAAATAACTCTTTTGGTAGTTTGGTAGGTACAGAGCCAGTATTACTGACGCCATCCTCAGGGGATAAGCCGTCCAACACAGCAACTTGTTCCAAATGACAAAGTACTGTTTTGGCTGGAATTGTAACAGCCTTGGTGGACGGGTTAGCGACCTCAACCTTGACCCGTGTTGTTGAGTGGGTAGACTGAAACCCAACAACACCAGTAACGAGGGTAAGTGAACCAGGAAGAACGGACTGTGTGGCACAAAACTCCATACCAATCTGTGGAGCACTACCCCTGCAAATACCTGTTATAATCTGGTTGCAAGACGGGGGTATGGTTATAGATTTAGTTGTCCGCACATTCTCAGTTTGGTTCAGGTCATTCCAACGCCTACTGAGCCACTGAAAAGCCATGGTCCAAGGAGAAGAACTCCCAGATACCCTGTCACCAGGGTTGCTTTCACAAGCAGCACGCAGGACATTGGTCCCCAGGATAAGAGGTACCTTAGAGGTGAAGTCGGTAGTGGGCACCACAAGAATGAGTGCGGGTACCTCCACTACTTGACCCATGAAGTCAGGGGGTATAGCAATCGTAGCCTCAACATACCCCAAATAGGGTAGCTTGGCTCCCCCAGCTCCATGCACCTCTAGTAATGAGCTAATTTGGTGGAGTGGCAAGTGAGGGAGGTAAGCTCTGTAGAAGTTTTCAGAGATAGTGGTGACCATTGAACCAGTATCTATCAAAACATCACAGGCATGCTCCTCTACCTTCACATGCGCAATGTTTGGGTGCCCAACTAAATTGGAAGGCACCTTTCGTTGAGCGCTTTGGTTAGAGTCCTCAGACCGCTCGATAACTGGGACTCTTAGAAGTTTAAAGCAGGGCAATGCTGGTGACCCCTTTTGAGCCCTGGCCTTCCACAATCAAAACAGAAAACTGATGATTGTTGTGGAGGGGGTTTATCACCGACCTGCTTTACTAAAGGTTTATTTGTCTGGGCACCTCTGAAGGGAGCTTGGCCTTGACTCCTGGTGGGTGGTTTGTAAGAGGAGGCTTGAGCAGACCTGAGCTCAAGAGAGTGAACTTTGTCCCCGATAGACTTTAGACTCTTATCAAGGTCTTTAAGCCTAGAGAGCACATCCTCCATCTCCCGACCACATGGTACAGGAGTGGTAACGGGACACTGATGTGCCTCCTTAGGGGTAAGCAGTTCCTCCTCCACCCGACGTACAGCAAGCAGCAGTTGGCTGTACTCGAGACCAGAGTCAAAGTGATGACGAGTTGCCTGCTTTAAAGCATCCCGGGACAACCCCATCCAGAAACGGCTTCGAAGCAAGGTCATGGCAGCATTTGGTGGGAGCATTCCTGAGACTTCGATCTTTGAGATCAAGTCACGAAGTCTACAACTCCAAGCTGCAGCAGACTCGTTTATTTCCTGGCGAGCTGTGTAAAAGCGCTCCATGAGCGTCTCGCCCGGCATCACATTGCCAAAGACAATGTCCAACTGCTCTAAGGCAGAATCAAGGGTTGCCTCAGCAGGGAAACCACTGAGAAGATCTGCAGCAGAACCCTTGGCTGCTCTCCGCATGGCATTGAATATGGCGGTGTCAGAGTGAACATTTTCACGTCGACACCCCAATATTTCAAGGCGCCACTGACTATATTTCACATGACCCTTTGCCCTATCCCCTGAAAATGTTGACAACCGGGGACTTGGTGCATTGATAATTGGCATGTACGAGGTGTGTGATATGGGCATAGTGGAATGCGGAGTTGCCAGGAACTGACTAGGCTGAGCAGTTGGAGTGTACCCAGGGTATAGAATGGGCATGGGTACATGTCTGTTGGGCCAAGCCTCATTTGGTGCCCCAGTCGGACGTGTAATGACACGCGACTGCTGTGAGTAAGGGGTTGATGAACCCTGGGATTGATTATAGCTAAAGAGTGACCCGTAGGGCCTAGGCAAAGATTTCGGCAATTCTATCCTAGGGCTATGGTCTTGTGGGGGTATTGTCCGCTGGGAAGGCTCCATGGGTGACCATATATCAGGCAACAAAGGAGACCCCAGAGGTGAATGTGTTAGCAGTGACGGTAGCCCAGGTGTATATGGTTGGGGAACAACCCTTTGGCTATCCACAGGAGGTGGAGGCACATGCGGCCGAAACAACGTATCTCCAGACCCAACATCAGCTACATAAGTGGTCTGAGGTGGATGTGGATTAGCGTCATCTGCTAGACGGTAGAGTAAACTAGTACGGACTAGGGGATCAAGCTGATGGATGAAATCCACAACCTGATCAACCTGTGATCTAACATCACTGTCCGACTGAGCCATGATGTGTATGATAATACAAGTATGACAAACCTCCAAAAAGGCAACAAGGATCCTATACGTTGGGACCCAACAACAATATTATGAACCGAGGCGATCGCAAAGTGCAAAAACTCCTAAGTATTAGGAAACCAAGTGCAGGGCTCCTACAAAAGCAAGGATACAAGATGGACTATGGTGTGATATGGGTAGACTTACAACTGCGGGGAACTAACCACTACCCCAGGTAAGCAACAAAGTTCAATAGCAATGCAAGTAGCCGAACAACAATCAGGATGTAGTCACCTGAAGGACAACTTATGCATGTACTGAGGTCAGGTAAAATGAAACACTAGCCAGATGATCCCAATGAAAATGAAATAATCCAGCAAGCAAAGGCTACGGGGTGAGACTAACCTGGCAACAACTACAAAGTCATCCCAGATACAAGCAGTAACTGCAAGTACTACAGACCAGACAACCACTGGAAATAAGTCAAGATGCAGCAACAACTGAGTTGTACATACAGAAAGTAAATGTAACAGTAGATACTGACTGAACTCCACTGTCACATATGTAACTTACATATGAGGGGAAACTATACAAATATCTCCGATCACAGATATACTGTTACTCGAGATAATAGATATGCAAATTGAGGGAAATACTGAGGACCTAATCACTGATGGTGTTCAAATATTTCAAACAGAAGATCTGATATGACTGATGATAGTGATGAAGCCTATAATGGGATATGGTATATGATGAAATGAAGAAACAAGACAAGACAAGACAAAATACTTATGGTAAACATGTTAGTGGTTTGCTGAAGAGAGATATGTCCACACGGAAGGAAAGACAGCAGGAACAGCATGGAAAAAGAAGTACTGAGGATAGAGTCTGACACAGGTAAAGTAAGAAGGGTATCAATGCAAATATCAAAAGTATTGACAGAAAATATATCAAGTAAAAAACAAACTTTGGATTTTGAAATTGAACTGTTTAAGTTAAATGTTAAATAATTTCAAATATAAATTTGGAATCAAAGTCAAATAATTACCAGCTACACCTAATATTAACCTGAAATTTTGATCAGTGGTGAAATTTTGAATAGATATGAACTCCAATTAATTTTTCAGAATAAACTTGTCAGCGAGATGAAAATGAATCTATACTATATATATATATAATTTAAATAAACACTGTAGACATAGAAATGTGGTAGAAATAGAATTTGTACTATAATATAATCAATACTCTGTAAAAGTCAATAGGATTATAAATTTCAAACAAATATAAACATGATAAACATATAATATATATCACAGGATAAATAGAAATATACACGGTGGATCACAAATGTCTTGATAGTCAGGCTCAAAAGTCAATGTCCTGAATTTGTGAAACACAAAAATATCAAAAGTCACAAGGTCCATACACTTCATGTAACAATGAGGAATGAACTATTCATTCACATAAGTGTATAAGATGTCCTTGGAAACTGCATGAACTCTTCTATGTTGAATTCCATCTAATGAATGATGAACTGCCTCTTCTCACTGTACAAGTGATGGTGCTGATGAAACTAGCAGCCCCACGTTGGGCGCCATTTTGTAGCCGGGCGTGGTGTGATGTGTCCAGCCACTGGGCTGCTAGTCAAAACATGAGGCAGTTCTTGAAGATGATGATGATTTTATTCTTTTGTAGTAGATGGTGGGAGGGAAGCTGTAAACAAGAGTCCTCCCTCCATAAAGAGTTCATGCAGAATATGTTATAATTTAATTTAAGCCAAAAGGAAACAGATTAATTTATAAGGATATGTTGGGTAGCACATGGTTGAAGCACATGGTTGAAGACCATGTGCTCAATTAATGTAACACAAAATGTGTGAGCTGGCAAATATTTAGATATGACAAATTAAATAATAATGCAATTAAATATATTTTACTTTAATGAAAAGCTGTGATAACCTTTCTATGAATATAATTGTTTCTAAAGCAGGATGGAAAGAGATAAGAATATTGAAATGTTTCTCACCTGTAAACAAGAGTCCTCCCTCCATAAAGAGTTCATGCAGAATGCATGAGGAGGGCAGGTGAGAAAGGAAGTTTAAAGAAGTGGACCAAAGGGCCAATCAGAAGAAAGGTAGCATCTGACAGGTATTAAAAGGAAGTCAAGATGCTTCAGTCACATAAAGTGGTGGACATGTCTAAAAATAGATAGGGGGAAGTCCAGGTGAAGCTGGAGAAATTACAGAGGCTGCAGAAGGGTATCAGGTTGGTGTTAGTTGGCTGACATTCAACTGCAGACAAGGACAACATATAATGAACATATAATGAACATATAATGAACACAGAATGAAGTGATGGTGATAATAGATGAACATGTATGTATGTATGTATAGAATGAATCTAAGGGGGGTTATAAGTGGGTGGTACTTATGTGGCTATAACTCATTCAGAGTTAGCACCACCACCCGGCTACACAATCTTCACCAGTGATGGAAATTGGAATTAATAAAAAAAACTTTCAGCATGTCAGGTGCTTTCAGACATTTATTTTTCAGAAACCTGATGTGCCGTAAGAACGTCAAAGGTTGATCGAAAATGATGCCCCAAAACATGGCCCCCTTTTTAACTTTAATAGGATTGTCATCTAAAACTAGTTCTGGGTCTTTATGAGGTTTGCATTTTCTGCAAAAGTGGATACAGTTCCTTTTAGATTTTGAAACTTGAAAACCTAATGCCCATTTATGGATTTTATTTCAACAAACTTGTAGTTGCCTTTCGACAGTATTCATAATTTTACCACGGCATGAAATATTAAAATCATCCACGAATAAAGATCTATCAATTAAATCGTTTAAAACTTGAGATACGTTTTTTATGTTTATGCATAACGTGACACACTAAATACTGCCCTGTGGAACACACTGATCCTGACTGTAATGATCAGACAGGGTAGAACCTTCACAAATCTGAAAATGTCCGTCTGATAAAAACTTGGATATATATTGAGGTAAACGGCCTCACAACCCCAAATCATGTAAATCTTTTAAAATACCATGTTTCCACGTTGTGTCGTATGCTTTTTATAATTTGAAAAGAGAAAACGCTGCATGCTGCTTGTATATAATGTCATTGGAAACGTATGACTTGAATCTAACACAATTGTAACCAATACTTCTATTCTTTCCGATTTCAAGACTGAATATTGGTAATTAAATTATTAGATTCCAAGTATCATTTTTATCTATTGTTGACCATGCGTTCCATGGTTTTGCAAACGCAGCTGGTAATTGGAATTTGTCTATACTTTGAGGGATTAGTATGACCCTGTCCAGGCGTGAAGATTCCGGGCTAGAATAGGTCTTCAGCAACCCATGCTTGCCGTAAAAGGCGACATTGCTTGTCG